TGATCGCGGAGCACATTAATGCCTGTGTTTTCCAGTCCAGCGCCATTGACTTCAATGCACCGCCATGCCCCCTCCCGCCCCTGAATGCAGGTGTTTTTTCATTGGTAGATCTCATTGAGCTCGTCATTTGAAAAGTAGATCTCCAGATGAAAAATTGTGGGCACCCCTGTTCTAGAGGGTGGCTACTTTTATTTCCCATGTGTGTGTTGTAAAGTAGCCACCACTCCAAGCTCACTCCCATGATTAACTATTATCTCAATACAAACTAGCAAACTAAACACAAGATTGCAATCTATCCCCAGAGTGAGCTTGGAGTGGTGGCTACTTTATAACACACATAGGGACAAGGGGGAACAGAAGTAGCCACCCTCCAGAAGGAAGGACAGCGCCAGCATAAATTCAGAGATGATTTGAGTATCTGCATCATCTGAGTGATGCACAAATAAGCTACATTTTTGTTAATAGTTAGGGAATGGATTTTTAAGTTTTATCTCCTGAGTTTAGTGTCACTTTAAGGAGTATCTTCCAGTGAGGATGCTTATTCCATTGCCAACTGTCAAAGGTGTGATTTCCCTTGTTTTCAGGAGATTTCTGCTCACTTTCTGTCATGTCTCTGATACATGACATTATGGAAAATCTCCCTGATGGTGTTAAATTCTATCCAAAACTAAAAATAAAAGATAATTTAGTTGAAGTTCTGCTTTAAAACCCAACTGAAGTTGATCATATTAATACTAACTATTATTTTGATAGGTAAAGAAAAAACATTGGAAAAGAGTATGGAAAATACAGTCCCTCTTTAATCAATATTAAAGCCCATTCAAAGCCAAAAAATAGATAATTGTTCAGGCTGTCTAAATATGATTGTGTAATAAAATTGACACCAAAACGACCCAGTGCTCTCAGTAATGCACACAGATCTGTTGAAATGTTTGCCAGAAATAAACAAAAGAGTGCCTCTCTAGTCTAGAAGTCTCTATTGATCTGTAGTAAGCTGTAAGAATTGTAGCGGTCTATTAAGGCTACCAATTGTTAAACAAATTAATTAATAAATAAAATGCAATACAATACAACAATAATGATAAATTTAAAAATAATGAATGCAAAAAGGCTGCTTAGAAAATGTTCATGAAAGCGTTATAATGCCTATACACTTACAATAATTGTTTGCCTTCATCCTAAGTATAAAGAGGAGCCTATTAAAACTATTGAGCCAAATGCCGCTCGGCGGCATTCGGCTATTCTCTCACTGCTGTTCGGGATCTTTCAGAATAGCCTGAACAGCAGTGTGAAGCCTGTACCAGCCTGAAGTGAATAGCCGAACAGTGTTCGGCTCACTTCACTTCTGATCGGTCATTCACTCGGCTGCCCTCGGCAGCTTTGTGAATAGACCCCTATGTCTAAGAAGAAATTGCTAGAATGGGGAGCAGGGTAATTATTGGCCAAAATGCCTACACTCAGGGGGAGTGGCATTTATTAAAAGCTAAATCTGTCCTTTACGGAAAGTAGATCAACCAGCACTTGAAATATGTTTCAGTTTACAATACATTCATACTGAGCTAAGATGATTAATTAGATCAAAATTGATCCAGATTTTTCCAAAGTCACACCAATTTGTGCAGCAGGATGCATGCAGAGCACTATAGAAATCATTAGCACTTACCATCTTTCCCAGTTGGATGTAAACTGCATTGAGGCAAGTTACAGTTTCATACATTCCACACTGAATAACCTTAGCAAGGATAGAAAATTTCTTGCCTTCATCCTAAAATAAACAATATCAGAAGCAAGCTGTAATGAGTTTGTAGCAATTAAAATATCTAATCAACCTATTAGCTACAATTACTGTTTTATTAAAGAACCAAAAAAGAGACATTAGTCTTGGGCTCAACAGGAAAGGGGACACACAACAAGCCTTTTTGATAACAGAGGCTTAGGATACCCACAGACAGAAGAAAGTAATCTGAGGAAATAGGTAATGTCAAGTAACTTTTGCTAATGTGTTGTTGACTAATTTCCAGAGAAAAATCGATTTGATCAGCTGAAATTCTTTAACCGGTTTTGCCAGATAAACCAACTTAAATGTTTGAAGCCATTGCAACTTGTATTTTGTTCCTGCAGTAAAAAAAATTATATATATGTCAGTGTGCTTTGCATGCCAGGTTAAGACGTGAGGGGAAATCTCTCTATCAAGGAAGCAAAAATAATAAACACTTTTTTTCATTAGAATGAGAAAATGGTAGAACCTACAAAAGTGTTTTGTTGTTGTCTGAGTCTCAAGTAGATATATCTTTTCACTTCCTGTCCTCCTGGTAAAATAAAATATTCCCAAATAGGGGAAAACACAACAACAAAAACACAACTGAGATTTTAATCCTTCTGTACCGTAAAATAAAAAAAAAGTTTTGATGCACTTACACTATAAAAGTTATATTCAGGAAAAGTGGGAGTTTTGGATAAGAAGGCAGATAAAAACATTGTCAGTAGCAGATTTCCTCTCACTCATTTTTTTTTTCCGACACAAGAGCATTTCTGCCCTATATCAGGAACAAGGACCATCATGCCAGGATCACAAGGTATCATTTTAATAGAAAACGCACATTTTAAGGAATAACAGAGATTTTTCCTTAGGAAAAAGAGAAATGCAACTGGAGAAGAAATTATATGATATATAATAAAAATGTCATGAAGATTATGTGAGTTTTTTCGTATTGGGTTTTGGCTTTAACCTGAAAACTATTATTTCTTTAATTATGCCCTGAACAGTGGACCAAGGAGGGCATAGAGGGGGTACAAGGACATGGGAAGGCCGGATGATGGGCTGGATTATCACTGCAAGAACCCCCAAAGTGCCTCTCAGTCCGCAGTTGCGAAGTAGAAGCCGTAAAATACAACACACACACATAAATGAACTAATCTGAGCTGTTACCACCCACAACTTACAGGATTGTGGAAAATCTTTTCCCTGACACTCCTAGTCTGTACACTCTGTGCTCAAGCAGACTGACACACAGGCATCGCGGACTGCACACACTGCTCTCACTAGCAGGTACAGGTTAGCTAAACAAGGCACAATTATCTCTAGAGTTAGAACATCCATTCACCGCTTCCTGCATTACCGTTGGTCATCACTGGTGGGAGATTCCCCCAACTCCAGATGGCTTGTTCCAGCTATTGTTCTGCTATACGCAGAGTCCGAATTCTGGAACTCTGTGGCTAACAGAACCGGAGGTATCATAAAGAGACTCAGTTATAATTGGGTCTGAATATCTTTACAAAAAAAATCCCATGTTTAGTGTCAAAACACTCATCTTTCTACCATAACACTTTTTCTTAAGGTTCTATGATCATATGTTGCAAGGGACTAGAGTTATGAGATAAGGTCCCCTTTTAGAAATGTTGAACATTGAAATACACACAAACATCTGGTGACACGTTGATATTTCAGTGATAAACAGGCAGGGAGACACAATGTCCAGAAAGAACACACTCTGCTGTGTGGACCTCCACAGTGAATACACAACAAACCAACACTTGCTTCATATGACACTCTACAGCTAAATATGTTTATGTAGTTTGTGAATTAATTTGTAGAAGCTGTATTCAGAAGAAGAACTGAATTAACTTTCTCCATTGGAATGATTTAGGACAAGAAGCCAAAAAATATTATACTTTTTTGGCTGTATCAAACATATTTGCATCATACAAAACACAAATGGTGACTGGTAACATTGAAGAATGTCCTGGGTGTTCTAGTAATTGAAACTTAGAGCAATCTTTTGATTATGAACAATTTACAAATCTTTAAAACATTTGGCATGCAAATAGGTGGTACATGCCACATTTTTTTATTGATCTGATACATTTTTAGCTGTGTTAAAACTGCACAAAGATATGAGATGACCATTACCCAATCCACACAATTTTAGCCAGACTAAAAGTGACAGAGTGCCAGAGAGTGATGATCATCTTTGTGGACCAAAGGACTATAGCAGACATTCCTGTGTGGTATTATTTTAGCTAATTATTAGCTCTATAGGGACATGTTGGGACTGGACAGGAAGATGGAAGGAAGGGAGATGATTCTGGCTATTCTCCTTCCTCCTTCTTTAAAACCAAAATCGCATAGGCTTTATGCTTGATGCTCTATCCATGAATGTAGAGGGATCACTTACTAAAATGACCTTTGGATGGTTATATCGTACCCAAACATCCAATTACCATCTCATGTTTATAGTTAGCCTAAAGTGAACCTGTGAGAATAAACATATGGAAGCTGCAATTGCCAAGTTTAGCAAGGGCAGAGTTTGTGATTACTACGCTGTAAAGCCAAGATCAGACAGCCTTGAGCCTGCTCCTTAAACAACCAAATCAGAAAATGCAGCTCACAGCTTTCCTGTGTAAGTCTTTATAAAATCTCTCCCCCAAACAACAAAAAGACTTGCTAGTTCTATTCATAAATGTATCTTTGAAGTTAAACACAAGATTGTTAAAAGGATAAAAGCACCACAAATCCCTAGCTAGCCAACAATATGGGGGTTAGCCCCCAAAACCACCACCAAGTTCATCAGGGCTTAAATGCTAGCAGGAAATTAATACTGGAGTGCAATTTAAATAGATGTAAGAATTTCTTCTAGGTAGTAAAAGCTTATCTCTGGGCTAACCAAAAATCTACCCATGCAGTGGGGCTGCCCATACACTACAAGGGTGAAGTGCTAGTTTATGCAATGGGACTGAAGTAAACTGCCCAGAGCGAAGGGGGGAAGAGGCTGCAGGTACTGGTCTAGCAGCTAAGAGGGAATGGGCAGGGTTGGCAATCAGGTAAGAAAAACAGCCTTTTCCTGTCCCCTAGGCATAAATAAGCACTAAACCCTTGCAGTGCAGTGACAGCCCCACTAAAAGGGTAGTGTTTTGTTTGCCTGGAGGTGGACTTAGGTTAGGGTTGCCAAACTGACATGAAATCTGTCAAAAATTATTTTTGCATTTTTTGACATTTCCTTATATTCCTCTCATATGCACCTAGTTCAGACACACACCCTGCAACTCTTTGTATCAACTCATACTGTTGCAACGACTGATAGTAATCTCACACACAACATCCACTTGGTTATGGAATGCCGTTTATCTAAGTCATCATTACACGCCTCAACAAATGTTGTTTTTCTTCCTTAAATAAATACTTTTTGAAACAGATGAATAGGCAATGTATTGCTGCACACAGCTATTTTATAGTTAAATTACTATATACTATACTATACTTTATCTTATGTTTATCCTGTAAATACCAGAGATTACAATTTAGATGCCTGTCTCCTTACTAGGTCTATAAAACAGTTATGACTTTAATGCTGGAGAAAGGATCAAAAGAACTTCAATTTAGCTGTAAAAGGAAAACCTAAGTTTAAGCCCAGAATTGTGGACATCATTGCTTTTGTACTCTTTTTCTAAAGAAAATATAGAAAAGTAAACTTTCACTGAAGTGAAGTTTTCCAGAATTATTGGATTCTGCAAATTTTAATAAAAAAAATGTTTTTCCTATTTTAAATCGATAAACTGATAAAAGATAAACTGTCTGTGTCCTTAAAAAAATTACCAGAAAAAAATTGCAACTTCTTAAAAATAATTATAAAAACCATTAAAAATAAAAAATAAATGTATCTTTATATACATGTACCTTATATATACACAAAATACATGAACACTCATCAAGCATTGTATTAGGAATACATGTACACTTCTTATTAATGCAGTTATGTAATCATTCAATCATATGTAGGTCAGGAGCTTTAGTAATGTTCCCATCAAAAACCACAAAGGGGAAAAATGTGATCGTTAGTATTAGGCCAGTTGGTTTAATAATTTCTGTAACTGCTTATCCCCTGGAATTTCCATACACAACATTCTCCAGAATGCATTCAGAATAATGAAGAAAACTAAAAGCATCCTGGAAGCAGCAGTTCTGAAGACAATAACATCTTGTTGATAAGAGAGGTCAGAGGAGAATGTGCAGACTGGTTTTAGCTAGCAGAAAGACTATGGTAATTTAGATAGCCACTCTTTACAACTCTGATGAGCAGAAAAGCATTTTAGAATGCACAACATGCCAACCACTGCAACAGATGGACTACAATAAGCAGAAAACCACATCAGGTTTCACTCCTATCTCCCAAGAACAGACAGTTGAGGCTGCAGTGGGCACAAGCTCCTTAATGCTGTATAGTTAAAGATTGGAAAAATGTAGCCTGGTCTAACGAACCTCAATTCCCCATGAAACACATACATTTTAGGGTCAACAGCATGAAGCTGTGAACCTATCTTGCCAACAGTCCAGGCTCCTGGTGTAATTATGGGGGTAATGATTTCTTAGAACACTTTGGCACCATTGATACCAATCATCAAATGCCATAGCCTATCTGAGTATTGTTGCTAGCCATGTGAACCTCTTAATTGCCACAATTTAATTTACTGTAGTGTTCTTAATAAAGTGCTCATGAGGGTATATACAGGGTTGGATTAAGAGAATCATGGGCTGGTGCTTGCAGTCGGTTGGACATAGGGTTGCCACCTTTTCTTCAAGTGAAACCTGAACACCATAGCGCCGTGTGGAGAGAGCGAAGAAAGACAGCCAGGAGAGAGAGAGTGTGTGGGGGGGGGGAGGGCAGCCAGGAGAGAGAATGAGGAGAGACAGCCTAGGGAGAGTAGGAGGGGAAACAACTAGAGTAGAGAGGGAGGATAAACAGCCGGAAGGAGACTAAGGAGAGACAGTCAGGGGAGAGAGCGAGGAGAGAAAGCCAGGAAGATGAGCAATGAGAAACAGCCAGGAGGGAGAGTGAGGAGAGACAGCCAGGAGAGACAGCCAGGAGGATAGGAGAGGAGAGAAAGCCAGGAGAGCGAGGGAGGAAAATCAGCCAGGGGGGAGAGTGAGGAGAGACAGCCATGAGAGAGCGAGGAGAGACAGCCGGGGAACAGAGTGAAGAGAGACAGCCAAGAGAGAGGAGAGAGAGCATGGAGAGACAGCCAGGGGAGAGAAGATGGGAAAACAACCAGAGGAGAGAGGAAGGAGAGACAGCCAGGAGGGAGAGTGCCATGTGGAGAGAGTGAGGAAAGACAGCCGGGGGAGAGAGCAGGGGCAGACAGCTTGGAGAGAGAGTGAGGAGATACAGCCAGGGGAGAGAAGGAGGGGAAACAACCAGAGGAGAAAGGAAGGTGAGACAGTGAGCTGGGGAGAGAGTGAGGAGAGACAGTCAGGGGAGAGAGCGAGGAGAGACAGCCATGAGGAGGAGCAATGAGAAACAGCCGGGAGAGAGAAAGAGCATGGAGAGACAGCCAGGAGAGAGAGCCAGGAGGATGAGAGATGAGAGACAGCCAGGAGAGAGTAAGGAGAAGCAGCCAGGAGAGAGAGTGTGGAGAGACAGCCTGTGGAGAGAGCGAGGAGAGACAGCCAGGGGAGAGAATGATGAAAGACAGCCAGGGGAGAGAATGAGGAAAGACAGCCAGGAGAGAGAGAGAGAGGGAGACAGCCAGGAGACAGCCAGGAGAGAGAGCAAGGAGAGACAGCCAGGAGAGAGAGAGGGAGACAGCCAGGAAAGAGAGTAAGGAGAGACAGCCAGGAGAGAGTGCAAGGAGAGACAGCCAAGAGAGAGCACAAGGAGAGACAGCCAGGAGAGAGCGTGTGAGGAGATACAGCCAAGAGAGAGAGAGTGAGGAGAGACAGCCAGGAGAGAGAGTGAGGAGAGACAGCCAGGAGAGAGAGTGAGGAGAGACAGCCAGGAAAGAGAGTGTGAAGAGCTAGTGAGCAACACATCTGCCTGAAGCAGAACCCCTGTGCCCTTCAAGACATATTTGCACCCTGTGTTTCAGACACCTCTTTGCTCCTTGAGTTCCAGCATCCCTCCGTGTCCTGTGCCTCCTCAATGATTTAAGTTGGAACACCAGGACCCTGTGGTTTCTCCTGACCACCTGACATCATGACATCTTGGGTCTGGGTTTCAGCTGGCCTAAAACCCAGACACAGCACATACAGGACATAAAACCCGGACTGTCCGGTTGAATCCCAGACAGGGTGTAACCCTATTGAAAGCAGCAGAGATGGCTCTCCTCCTAATTTGCTTGATTAGAGACCAGCAGGCACTTCTGCCTGTTTGTGTTCAGCTTCGCTGACCCGCATTGCTTTTGGGCACACTGAGCTAGGCCTATTTTCAGTGGTGGGCCTGGAGCTGGCGATCCAGTAGCCCCTTATGTTAATGCGGCCCTTGGTATATACCAGGGGTCTCAAACCTCCGGCCCTCCAGCTGTGGTGGAACTACAAATCCCATGAGGCATTGCAAGATTCTCACAGCCCCAGACATGACTCCCAAAGAGAGATGCATCATGGGATTTGTAGTTTCACCACAGCTGGAGGGC